CACCAGCACCAGCACCAGCACCAGCACCAGCACCAGCACCAGCACCATCACCATCACCATCACCATCACCATCACCATCACCATCACCATCACCACCATCTCCATCACCATCACCATCACCACCATCACCACCGTTATGACGTATTATGAACATGTGAGTAGTGCACGTCAGCAGCTATTGCCAGATTCTGCCATAGTCCATGAGTTGTACTGGAATCACGGGATATCAAGCTAAAGCCTAGCATAATTGTAGAGTTCCCATCTTGAGTCGACTAGTGCCAACTTATATAGCCTCAAACACTTTCTTCGTTTCGTTTCCCATGCTTGCACTACCCCAAAAACGGCACCCCAAAACGCGGCGCAGGAGATGCTTGCGACTATGAGCCCGCCGGCGAATCGGTGGGATACCTGCCGACAAGATGACAGCCAATCTGTGGACATCTGAGCGACTGCTGTTTGAGCACTGCAGCACTGGTTGATGGCTGAAATCACGGGGTGGCAGGTTTCATAGGTGGCATTGATCCTTCAGTAGCGGCTTGCCTTTACCCTGGATTCCAGGGCTTTGCTGAAGCCAAGCCAGGTTGACAAGAATGCAGCTCAACGGTTTTGGACGTTTATTTTATTATATATATTTTTGTTGCAAGGGCAGTTGCTCAAAAATGGATAGACCGGTAAAGGAGCAGTGCTTGAGCCATCTTGATCCAAACCTAATGTTTGGGCACTCAGGTTCACACATCCCCACCTGATGATTCTGACGATGATGATGCAGTCCTCAGGTCGTTGTCTTCGTTTGATTCGTCTACCGTCCTCTTGGAATCGGTCATTTATGCTCTTGTGAATGCAGGCTGACGACAGACCAAGACGTGTATGACATTGGTAGATATATAGATCAACTGCAAAGTTCTATAGACTATATCTGCCTATAGCTTTGTGGAGACTTCTATCAAGTGCTTTGAGGTCGACCCGACCTCTCACAGCTCGAACCTCCCATTTTGGGACCCTCGAGCCGTCTTCGACGCCTCTGTCGAAGATCTCATCGCCGTGCCGCGGCCGCAGGCGGATTGCCCAACCAGCCAGGTTGCCAGAGTTGTCGGGGCGCACAGCCGCGGACGTGGCTTCGGGTCACGTGACCGCGTGGTCGAAGCAAGGTAGTCAGCGGGATGAAAGCGGGATGAAAGCGGGTGAAGACTCACTCAGGCTGCAGGAGTGGTTGGATTGAATGGTTGGCATCAGGTGAATGTAGGTGTTGGGTTTTTGTTGCCGTGGAGAAGATTTCTTGGGAGATCAGGGTGAGATACACAGATACGCATGTTTGAGCTTGTACATAGATGATGGTCATGCTAGTTTAGCTCTGCACTTTTCAGAATCTCGTCTTCGTCTTCAAAATAAATATCTTTCATGGGTTGCCAAACATTTGCCCTGCTGAGGATTCCGGAACCCAAGAACACAGGCGGCCGCAGTTGCGATGACCCAGTTGCACATCAATGGGGTGTTTTACTCATATAGATGCATCATGACTCTACAATACAAAAACATGCAAACACAATATATCATAACACCTCTCCAAAAGGATCCAAGCAATAGGGATCCAGACAGAAAAGGTCGTGTCAAGCATGCCGGTCACCATCTTTTTTCCCCTAAGAACGGTGGGGTTTGGCCGTTTTCATAGGTGGCGATTGCGTCCGGACTCCCAGAGGTTTTGATCGCCCTCCGGATCGAGGAAGGACATGGGTCGAGGACACCCGGCGGGGTGGAAGCCTTCAGTGACAACTGATCCAGCAGTCTGCCGTGATACACCTCTTCAGTCTATGGGGACCTGGTTTTCCACCTGCCAAGTCCAGTTTGGGCTTAGCTGTGCAGTACCTTACGCGCGGCTTCAAAAGGGCTGTTCATTCATCTCCTCTTCGCCACAGTGGTTTTGTTTGGATTCCCATGTGGGACAAACCAAAGATCAAGAAGAGTACATACTGTCCAATTGAGTGTCAAGGTCTCATGGCCATTCAGTCTGATGGCCATTTGCCAGCGATCTCGCTGTTCTTTTTGACGAACAGTGGAAGTTTGACCATGGCCTCCAGGCGGTGCAATGCTCCACTCCACGGTCTGCGCAGCATCTCTTGTATTGAGCATCTGATCTTTATCGTCCTCCCGTTGACTGCCAGGAATCGAAACAAGGACTGACTGGACCTGAAGTTCAATGCTTTGGCGCCCGGAACAAAACACACCAAACACATTCATCTAAAACACCCTAAACGAAAACACACCTGTGTCATTCATCCCCCAAACCCACCCACCATCACCCCGTCCCGGTCGACCGGTGACCGGACCGTCCAGGTGGGTCCTGCCCGATTGGTCCAGGTGATCCAGGCACCGTGGACCGCCGCGAGCCGAAGATGGGAAGAGAAGAGCGATGAGAGCATGGGAATCGGAGCCCATGCCAAAAGACGGTCACGTTTTCGTACCCTGAATTCGTGTTTCTGAATGATTCTGAATGAACTGAATGAACTGACAACGAATGGGGATCCGAAATTGCGGGTCGGGTGAGATCGTGAAGTAGCGACGGTTTCGCGGTTTTACCATCGTCTTTGTTGGTTTTTGAGCGACTGTTTCGTCCAGACAGCCCACCGAGGATGAGAACACTCGGGTATTCACCGTTTTCAAACGGTGAATACCCCAACGATTTTTCTTGGAATGGACGGGGGTCCGGGTCTTTTGGATCTCTTTGTTTTGCCGAAAGAAACATACCACACAGAGACACAGAGCACACACAGAGCATACACAGCAGTCACACACCGAAAGCACCACAGACACCGAACGGACAGTGCAACGAATGAGTTCGAAGAGTCCACCGGTGGCGGCCATCGCCGCCGATTGTGCGCAACGTTCCGGGGACGGACTCGCCCCCAGTGCAACCATTTTGAAGCTGTGCCGTGTGCACGTATTCAAGGCGTGACAGGTCAAGTGCAAGAGTCTTTCTGTTGTTTTTCTTTTATCTCAGCATAGCGGCTGATTGTTCGGGATTTCTGCTCAGGGTTCCTGTTTTCATGTGTCTTACTAGCACATAGTGCCAGCCATCCTGAGTACTAGCAAGGCCAGAGCTACTAATTAAACCCTGAAGTGACTTTGAACTAAGATACTCCACCTTTATGGTTTAATCAGTACTTCTAGTTCTATTTTTTTAAACTAAGACACTCCACCAGGGAAACCTACAACTCCACTGGTCCTTCATCAGACTGGGATCTCGGAGGCTTGGGAAAATCCCTACGACAAGCACGAGAAGTTCTTGAGATTGAAGCTAGAAGCTTACGCATGGCCGATTTTCTATAGTGATGTTGCTTGTGGCATCAAACATGCTGATATGAGGTTTGTGAAACTCGCCATCACCCGTGCTTATATTTTTCTGACATGTGTTGCAGAGGTGTCCTCTCACCTCAAAACACTCAACTGCTTGTTTTTCTTTGCACTCTTGTGTTTTCTCCCCGCGACTCTCTGGCAGCCAGAACATGAATTTTGAGAGTTCATGAGGCTGTGAGCCCTGTTTCCATGTGTGCTGGGTTCTTCACCAGGCTTGGAGAGACCTTGAAGTTGACACATCCAGAGTTAAACATCGATGAGACTTGGAGAGGAAGGAGCTGGAAAGGAGCTGGGACCCCGTCCGAAGGGGAAGCACATTTGGATCATACAGGAATCCGGGATCATTTCCTGTGTTCCAGATAGGGGGGCCACAGTTTGGCCACAACATGCCACAAGCCTACGGAAGAGTACTTTCCCACCACATAGACTTGTGCCTTCCGTGTTGGAGAAGAGTTTGAGAATGCATGGGAGGGAGGTGGCAAATACAGTGTTTCTGTGAGGAGATGCAAAGGTTTATGCCTGTATCATCTACAAAAGCATACATAACGACAACGGACCTTGACCATGTACATATCAGGAAAGTAGCAAAGCCAAGACATCTTGCTCGTGGTGTTGCTCATCATTTTTGGCATTCGCATCGCACGATTTGGTTTAGCAAGATCCAAGATCCAGCTATTTCGTGCCATGACGGAAGTCCTGCCATTCATAGACTGATTCAGAGAGAAGGGAGATTTTATCCACACATTGAAGGACAGTGCCTTTTGATCAGGTATACAAGGTATGGCGAAAATTTCCGGTGTCATCCATGGGAAATGGACAGAGTCTGACATGGGCGCGCCAATCCAATCTGTTTTTTTTTTGGGGGGGGAGATCTTCCCTTTGAATAGAGGGCCGAAAAGGAATGACCCCACAGATCTCCTCTGTACCAAAAAAGGTCAGACCACATTGAAGTCCGAAACAAACAGACACCGAAAAGCGGATTTCACTGTTTCACTCTTCAGATCCCTTCGCAAGATTCGTTGGCTGCTTGCGACCGTGGCGGGTTTCTCGCGGTGTGACCGCGGCCAACACTGCCCAGGGCTTGGGACTCTTCGGCGGGAAGAAGTACGATGGCATGGATGGTCCTGCAGGATGGTTCCCTTCCAAGTGTGTCTCTCCCATACGGGAGCCGCACGTCCGTGGCGCCTGCCAATTTTTTTTTTTTTTTTCGAATCTCATTCACGTACGGCGCGAAGGGCGGAACGTGGATGATCTGCACATTCACCCAAGAACTGCCCAACAACTGGCCAAGCTTGTAGCTCCCCACATGGGCGAAACCGCGACTCGGTCCAAGCCCAAGCCTCATGGCGTCTTCGTGCCACACGCGTCCGTGTCATGGACTGCGTGGGCCGGAGCGGAGCGGACGGGACACCCGGTGGTCGACGGCGGTCGACCGATGGCCAGGTGGTCAAGATGCCGATCTGGCGGGTGGAAGGGCACCACCGGCACTGTTTGGTTGAGAAGGTTTGGTTTGTTTGTAGGGTGAGGAGTCGCGAACAGAGAGCGTCCCTTGATGGCAGAGTGTTCATGGTCAAAAAGTGAGCAGATTGAGAGAGGCAAGAGATTTCCTGAGAAGATTGTTACATTGCGAACATGCTCGGCAGGGGCTCTGCAAATTCGAAGATGACTGGGCGGGGAAACCTGCTGACACGAGCACGAAGTTTTGGAACGTCCACCATCCGATCCCAAGAGGATCCAGAATCCTGAAGGGGTATTTGGTTTGGACACCCAGAACCGGCCATTTCATGACTCCAGATTCAAACTGCATGCCCCTTCTCCTCATCTTCCACAACTTCACCGTCAGTCATGCTGCATCTCGCCCTTCTCCGCGCGCGCACCCCGAGTTCGCCAGTGCCCAGACGGCCGACGGCCTTTAGGACACCTATACCGATCCGGCCACCATGCAGAAATGGTACCACCGGCGCTCCACGGAGGCTGGTCGATCGCCGGGCGCTGGGCGCCGGTGCTGGGCACCCCCACCCCCCTTTGAAGCGTTGAAGGGGCTGAAGGGGGGGAGATCGGTTCCCAAAGGCCCAGGTGATGGATGGAAGTAGGGAGCACCGGAACCAGATGCGATGGCCCGGGATTGGTCGGTCCGTCGGGTCAGACCTTCTTCCCCGTGTGGCAGACAACATGGTTGTCACACATTTCAACAATTTGAAGACAACATTGGACCTATCTCCTGCAGGAAGTCACATCTCAAGGCACACACACAACGGCGGCGCCTGCGGCCGGCGTGGCCGAGGATCGGTAGAACTTCTCAGTGACCCGAAATATCCCCAACTCTTCGTACTCCCATGCAGATTAACATGGAACCCCAAAACCACTGGGTTGTCTTCCACCGGTCAATTCTCAGGTTCCATGTTAGTGTGCGGGAGGGTATAGGAAAGCGCTAGGTCGTCACAATAAGTTCCCCTCTAAACCAACAACATCTATCTTTGTTTTTTCTCGGATTCGGAGACCAACAAAACTCCTTGAGCATCACATCTTAATGTAGACTCTTGATTGATAACCGGAGAGGTTTTACAATCCCAAATGGGTGGGCTTTATTGATCAGGAGTCTACATTCCCCTCTTTTTGGGTCCTGCCATATCTATATCCAAATCAATCCGAATACTATCCACACCCAGCACAAAATTCCACCGTTCGTGTGGAATTTTTGTGACGCCGCACAGGAGTATTTCTTCGAACGAAACCCCACAGGATGGCCTGGCAGCCCAGTCAGATCTCGAAAATTCCGATGTCCACGTGTCGAGTTACGAGTTTGCTTTACGATGTCCACGTGCGTCGTCGATGTTTCCTGGGTGTTCTTGGTCGAGTCGTAGAGATTTATAGGATCAAGAATGGCTGGATGCCAGGCTTCCATTCGAGGCTCAAAAAGACGCGACCGCAAAAATGCGGAGAAGTTTTGATAAACAAACTGACCAAATCCCTTTGAGCCTCCGTTTGCAGCTTTTGAAGGACATGCCCTTTGAGTGCATGCTTCTTCTGGCAGGTATACTCAAAAATTCTTGCTTTGCCAAGCATGTTGGTATATTACCAGTCAGTCAGTCAGTAAGTCAGGCAGGCAGGCAAGAACGCAGCCAGCCAGCCAGCCAGCCAGCCAGCCAGCCAGCCAGGCAGGCAGGCAGGCAGGCAGGGTATTCCTGGCTTTGCTATAGTGCTATAGTACCCAGAGGAAAAGACATGAAACAACTACTGCTCCCCGACCGCACCCTCGGTGCTCGAGCCGAGGAAGATGTATTTCACCGATAAGCATCAGACCGAGCGAAGGTGGTGGTATCATGAGGCAGGGACCGCAGGAAAAGGGGGACAACGCGCTAGGTTCTCCCTTTTCTTGGAACCCGTTCTGGATGTCACACCCAGTGTGGGAAGAATCTTTGTGGTGTGATGATGAATTATTCGTCTTTTTTGCGATGATTGTGATGTTCGTCCTCCAACTGCGTCAACGGTTTTCCCAGTTAATATCTCCGAAAGGGACTTATCAATGATGCCGAGGCCCTGGGTCCGTTGCCTTTTGTCCGGATTGCTCTCACAAATTGGTGCGTTTTTGGCCAAGTGGCACTCACTGCGGAGGCAGACAATCGTTACTTCTTCGAGAAGTACGAGACCGTGGGGTGAAGGATTCTTGGGAGATTTGCACCAGAAACTCACCTTTAGAGCAGGGCTAATTAGCAAATTATATAATTACATCCCCAATCTTTTCGCGAGGATGCCCTGCAACCAGTTCAATGGGAATCAGTAACGGTCGGCCTTTGGTTGGGTCCCACATCCAGTTTCTGGGGTCTGTATTCCTGTACCCTGTATTGAATCTAGACGATACAAATTGGTTTGGCCGTGTGGAATCCTTGCTCATCAGTCTTCATCAGCGAAAACGTTCGTGAAACCATGCAGGAGTGTCTTACTCTATGTCAACGCTGGAGCAAGCAGGGATCCAATGCTGCTGAATTGAGCCTCCCTTGAGGGCTTGTGCTACCGGTTCCGTGCCCGAGTGACTTGGGTAAGCTCGGAGAGCCAGGGTAGCTAAAACCTGGGCTAAGAACGTGAAGAATAAGTAAAATCAGAAATCCCATCCTTTGGATTCGAAGATTTAGACGGAGTCGCTTGCGTCGACGGACTCCGCAGCGGAGTGCGGAGTAACCGACTGTCTCTTACTCTAACAGCGGTTGATCTGACCAAGGGCCAGGGTCGAAAAGTGAGAATACGACGGGCCTGGAGCGATCAGGACAAGCAGCATGAAAAAAGCCAGACAGAAGTTCTTTCCCAATTCTTTGTTGAGGAATAGCCCCCCAAAATGGCCATTTGGCTAGATCAACCAGTCAGACTAGACCGGGTTTCTCACTGCTGTGTGCAGGACAAAAAGATGAACCTGCGCCCGAAACGCTTTGCCTCGTTCGACGAAACACACACCGCTCACCGCATTTTTTTGTTCGGCGGCTCCCAATGTTGCGTCGTATTTCTCCGAGCGCCGGGCGGTTTTTTTTCTCTCTCGGTGGTGGTTGGGTCGTCTTCGTTGGTGGTTGGGTCGTCTTCGGTTGATTCTGTCCGAAGAATTCTGAGCAACACAACAATTTGGTGGTTGGTTGTTCTTCCGATTTCGCATCTTTGTCTTCAACTTCTATTTGCAATGAATAAGTGGGTTTGCAATCTGTCCGAACGCTGTTTCAGCATCTCAATTTGTCTCAATCTGTTTCCCACTGCGGGACCATCAGCGCTGGCCATGCTGGCAGTCTGATCAAACTATGGATCAGCATTGAACACGTAGGAGTCATGACATATTGGGATCAACCAAAAGAGCATAACCAAGTGACCAGGCTGCCACCCGATCAAGCAATCTTGATCGTGTTTTCATCATGTGATTGTGTCACAGCGATTGTGCACCATTCTGTCGCGTGCAGAACAGCTGACTTCGCTTGTGACTTTGCTTCATTTTCTGTCGTGTGCCCTGAATCGCCCTTCACAATGACACCGAAGCCAGGCAGTTTGCGTGGGTTTGCGCTGCTTGGGGGGATGGGCACAGCATGTTTTGGATGAGGTTGAGGTTTGGGATTCTGATCGTCTGGGCACACAGCCAGATCAAGGTGTTGGGAGGGGTTTGGAGGATCTGAAGCTTTCATGTGAGAAAGCTTGACAGATCCGGACATTGACACCTGCTGATATACCTCAATGTTGCACGGTGGAGACCCCATCCGCGTCGGTTTCTCCCACCATTCGAAAGGAGACAAACAGCACAAGACTTGAAGACATACGTACTACCCCTAAGAACCCTTGGGCCCTCCATAGCAGTGGTCTGGGCCCGAACCAAACCCTATGTGTTGGTTCGGGCCCGAATTCTTAGGGTAGCGAATTCCCGTGTACTCTCCGTGGTGGTCCTAGGTGGTGTTGTAGGGTCCTCTTATGTCCTCTTGCACCCCACGGTGTCTAGGCGGCCAGCTCGGTCTAGGCAGCTCTGTCTGGCTGGCCTTTGCAACGCTTCTCGGCCGAAAGGAGGATCGAAAGGGACCAAATGAGCGCAAGAAAGTCAACAACTGCAGGTTATTGGTCGGGAAAGTGGTCATTTCCAGAATCAGATGCCTTTGTAGGGTTGTCACTCAGATCCTCAGAGACTCAGAGTACAAATCGATCTTTATTCTGATGTTGGAGGGTTTGTGTTGAGATTTGTCGAAGTTTCAGTTGGGGACGGACTTCATCGGATAACCATGTCGTTTGGTCTACACAAAGCTAGCGCAGCGAGTGCGGAGCGACGCAAGAACCATCCCCAGACCATCCATGGGACTGGAATATATGCATACATTGCACCCTTTTCACCTCAATGTAGGTAAATCGGATATACATGGATGGTCTGGGGTCTTCCTCTTCTCTATCCAAAGAGATTTGCGATTCACGGAGAACGTTTCCCGAAGACATGCGCCACCCTGCAGGTTCAGCGCACTGGCCGTGGCTTTGCTGCCACATGCCCACAAGGTGAATCTTGAAAGCCCTTTTGATGTACCAAGGAACTTGAACTTGCCTGCTTTGAATTTACTACTGTACATTAACACATTCTTGTATGCAATATCATTCTTATATAGTGTTCAACAGATTTCAACAGTTGGTTGTAGCTGCGTGGACATATTAAAAGATGTTTTGATCTTATGCGGCATTAGCTACTTTCAGTCCTTCATTGGACACTTACTCCTGCTCCAAGACCAGACGAGTCGGTGACACCTTTCTCCCAAAGAGCCAGCGGAGTCGCAGGCATTTCTCAGTGGGCCATTGAAGCCAGTCTCTAGACCATCCACGATAGCTCGCGGAGCAGAGGCGCGACTGACGGACCGACTGACTGGAGACAAGGTCTTCGACGTCGACTCGATGGTTTCGGAGTATTGGATGTATTGGGAGCACCTTGTTGGAAGCACCTTCGTCCAACTTCTTGCAAGTACACCCAAGATTACCATCCCACTTTTGCGGCCCCAACACTGCTGTCCACAGCCGCACACAGACAGAGTCAGGCAGCGGATGGCCCAGTAGGTGATTGGGTCGAATGCGAAATTTCGTGTCTTGGCATGGCAAACTGCTTGGAACCTCCCTGGCAAAAACTTGGGGGAGCATCAGATTTCATCTGAGATTCGCCGGATTCTTCCGGTTTTTCCCGCAAATTGCTGCTCTTAGTTGCTTTTGCAATGTCTTGCTGAAAGTTTGGCTGGGTGGATCGTCAAACGTTGGCTGCCCCCACAACTCCCCCAAGATCGCGGGAAAAACGACTGCCGGAGTGGGTGGAACCCACGAGTGCCGCGGCAAAGCTGTTGTTTTCCTTCCGAGAATCGCCTTATTCAATGTCTCGAACATGCCAGGACCCAGCATATCAAGAAACGGCATCCGGCATTAAGGAAGGTTCCAAATCCAAGTTGGAAGGGGTATTTTTTCACCCAGCAGTCTCAGTGGACCACCACTCCTTGAGTCGCGATACATCGCGCTCCAAAGTCTCGGCGACTCTCAGGTACACGCCCAGGATTTCCGTCCATCACACTGTGGTGGAGCCCCGGCGAAGTGAGACTTGGCCAAGTTGGTTCACCAGAATACTTCACCGGCGAAGATAGGTCGACCAGTGACGTCCCTGAATTAGCCTAGGAGATTCTCAGGCCCCAAGGTTGAACACCTATAGAATAGAACAAGTCTTTGAGTCGATGGAAGAATGGATGCTTTGTCCCACCAGATTGCATGTATTACTGTATCCATTTGCATCATTTTGCATCCATTTGCCAGGGTCAGAAAGCCTTTGTGCTTTTATGAAGGCATCAGCTTGGGTCGCCTAAGCAATCAAGTTGAAGCGTCCACGTCGCTGTGGCTATCTTCAAGCAGCCTTCAAAGAAGGCCCACCTACCTATTCAGAAACTTTTCGGCCCAGCCTTGAATATGCTGACTCGATCTTTCAATGAGAGGACAATCCAAATGATAGAACAAGTATATTATATAACAGGACCATCCATGGTGATATTGACTGGATCTCGCTGAGCAACATCTAGTGCCTTTGCTTTGCTCAGCTCAGAGAAAAGAACACTGTGCCACAGAATGGTCAATCTGACTCACCGTCTTTGTGGTCCTTTTGCATCGTCTGAGTCATGTTAGCCGACAGCTCAATGCTGGACAGAGCCAGCTCACCATCTTCGGCCTTCCACTTGCCTTTGTGCAGAACAGTTCGCTCGAGTGTGCCATCCGAATGGCTCGGATTTCGCTACGGCAACTGCGGCTTGTTCTATCTGAAAAAGGCCTTTGCTTAAGTGAGACGCTGCAGGTTCTGTCGGTTCTGTTTCCAGACCAAACCAGACTCGGCATGGTTTTCTTCTTTGCCTTTCCGAAAAAGTCAAGCAGGCCGATCGCTTGGTTCGTCCGACTCAGATCGTTTGGCTTCGGCTTGGCCGGGCCCCACCGATCCGTTGGTCTGGTTCGATGGTTCGATGGTTCGATGGTTCGAGGAGAGAGGAGCCAGGTGGGGTGGAAGGACGATGGGTGCTGAGTTTCTGGATCCACCTGAGGTTTGTGAGTTTCAGCATCCAGAGTTGCTGTGTGGAATTTTACGCACCGCAGCGCGTGGCGACCCGCGACCCGCGACCCCATCCTACGGACTGGTTTTCGGAAGTTCTGACCCATATCAATGGAGCATATCTTCAAAAGATCAAGAACCACCAAAACCCACCCAGAAACCACATTCCTCCAAGAGACGAGCCATTGTTCGAAGGTGTGGGAGAGAGCGGCTACAGTGGCTTTTGTTGGCTTTTTTCATCATAGTATTCTTTTCAGATGTTAATTTGTGGATAGTTGGTGTTGCTGATGATGCAGTTGATACTTCCTGCATTTTTTGCATCGCGAAGTTGTAACATGCCCAATGTTGAGAAACGAAGGAAGCTTTGCTTTGCTTTCATTCTGCTTTCACACAGAGCTATGGGTTCTTGGCAGAGATCCCATGGAATGGCTCCAGTGGCGTCCATTGGGCATTCACTCTACTTGGATTTGTTTTCTTTTCATTCTGCTTTCATTTGCTGTTATCTGACAGAGAGCCACCAATGGTGTGGTGAATATGCTAACAAACTCAAGCGTTTTCCCTTGGCCTGATAGAGCCATGGATTCTTGGAAGAGGCCAC